CATACCCAAATCCCTCAGGCCTAATCATATGTCTTCCTTCAACCACCAAAAGCTCCTCTGCAACAGGATTTGTCTGCTCCTCATGAACATTGTCATCCCCCTGAACAGTGTGGTCATCCTGCTGCTGACGCGCAGGTATATGTGTGGAGTGTGGAATACGGGAGCCAGATCCCTCTGGCTGGTGCGTGGAGGGCGTCGGTTGAGGAAAAAATAGATCCTAAAGGCTGCGGCGTGTAGGAATACTGCTGAGGAAAAACAGACCCCCAGGCTGTGCGAAGTGAGTCTGCTGAGAAAAACTAGATCCCCCAGGCTGCTGTGTGAAGGAATAATGCTGAGGAAGAAAACTAGCTCCCCTAGGAAAACTAGACCCCCCAGACTGCTGCGTAAACGTAGATGGTACATGGGGAAAATTAGATCCCCCAAGCGGATGCATGAAGGATCCCCCAAACAGACTAATAAACGATGGATTCCCAGTTGGAACCGTTTGAAGAGGAGGTGGGTAATGTCGTAAATGGCTATGAAGTGTCTAAGGACATTAGATCTGCCTGAGCCTGTGGGCGAGAAGCATACATGGGCGGGGGCGGTACCTCACGTACTCTGGCTCTCGAACGGGGTTGGGTCTCCTTAGCCTTATCCTTGTCAGTTCGGGGTGGCATTGTATCTATTTTGAAATAGTTATAAAAAACATGTATGGTTTTGTCATGCACATTTCTGGAGGGAGGTTGTAAGGGGTTACGATAACTGGACAACAGGAATATGCAATTGCAGATGCTTGGACGTATGGAGTAAAACCATCAGAGCATAGTCCGAGCCTGACATTTCTAGGTTCTGCAGAAAAATCAGAATGTACCCTATCAAAATGTTTCCATGCCTCACCGTCAGATGGATGCCGCATAATGCCTGAACATGTTTTGTTTGTATGATGCCATGTCATTTGACTTGCACTATGCATTGAAGCAAACAACCTTTTTAACCTTGGTATTATCGGCAAATAAAACATGGACTTCACTGCTACACGTTTTTGTTTACGGTTAATGGTTTTACTACGGACTTGATATCTCGGACTCTTACAGAACTTACATTCCTCCAGCGCCTCAGCATTAATACCAAACTCGTTGTCATAAAACAACATACATCCATTTATGCAACAGTCAATCTTTCGTACTTCTAAACCCAACTTCGACACCAACCTCTTTGCATCATAATAACTAGTAGGCAAGTTATCTTTCGTAGGAGTCACATCCAACATCATTTTTGCAAAGTAATCCAAACACTGATCAGGAACATTTCAATTTGACTTTGCGGCCAATAATCTCACACACATTGATAATTTTGAATTTGCTGACCCCTCAAACAACGGTGTATTCATTTCTTTCAATAACTGGTAAAATCTTTGTGCTTCCTCATTCGACAACTCTTCCCCATCAAAATCCTTAGGTTCATGTATGTCACATTTACTCCAAATGCATTTCCAACCATTTCATCGATCAGATTAAATTGTTCATCAAATTCCATATGTGATTGACTGCTTGATGCGTGTGTATTAGTTGTCTCTGCATATACGTTACTCGACAGTTGTTCTCCATTATATGTCCAAACCCAATAATTTTTAATGAAACCCTTCCTCTTCAAATGACGTTCTACTTCCTCTGAGTCACTAATTATAGGTCTACATTCACATTTAAGACAGGGACATCTCACTCCTCCTTCACGTCGACAACATTCTTGTGCAAATGCCCACGTGATAAACCCCTTAAGTCCTTCCTCAAAATTTGGTGTAAGTCCACGTCTGCCTGGTAACTTTCTATCGTACATCCAACTACGATAGTAACGAAAATTTTCCATACTGCACATTAATTTGTACTATCATTATATATCATTTTAATAAAATATGTAATTTAAATCTATTTTTTCTATTTCGACACCAACCTAATAAAATATGTTCACTAAAATAATATAAATTCATTATTTTTAAAGTATAATATATATATTTATTATTTTTAAAGTATAATATATTCATTAAAGTATAATATATATTCACTATATATTTTTAAAGTATAATATAAATTCACTAAAATAATATATTATACTAATAATAACATATTTATATATTCATTAATTTTAAAAATCTGTTTTTCTAAAATAATATATATTATGTTTACTAAAATATAATAACTATTCAATAATATAATATTCTATAATATATATAATTGATTTACTAAAAATAACACATTTAAATATTCTATTTTTTTAATTTGTTTTAAATAAATATTTTGTTTTTTTAATTAAAAATCACATAATATATTATTTTTATTTTTGCTTTCAACAACAATAACACAATACATTATATCACCAAAATCTAAAATTTTCTGAGCTAACTCTCAAAGCTTCCAAATATTTCAAAGCTTCTAAAATCTAAAAATTTCTAAGCTAACTCTCAAAGCTTTCAACAACAACAACACAATACACAATAAATATAAACAAATTGAAATGCATAAATACCTGTGAGCTAACTCTTAAAACTTTCAATGGAACTTCTTATAAATCAATCTTAGATCTGGAAAAAAAATCAACAGTTAATAATAAGAAAAATATAAAATAAACGGTAAGATAAAACAGTCACAAAACCAACAAATGCTTCACCTTAAATTTTGCAAAAAAATTTCGTATGGAGTAAAAATGGAGCTGAAGGAGGGAGGCAGAAGGGAGAACGAAGGGGGAAGAAGAAAGAGCCAAGCAAATAAGTGATACGAGTTGTGCCTAAAGAAATTTTGGGATTTTTCGTATATAAGGGAGCTTGCGACGTGAAAACTGGTTCGGAAACTTGCGGCGTGTAGCTTGCTTCGGAAATTTGCGACGTGGCAAGAAGGTCGGAACAATCCCTATATTTAATTATTAACGTTGCTCCACTAAATGCCAGCTTACCTTTCAAACTTTGCGACGTGCCATTTGCTTCGGAACTTTGCGACGTGGAAACAAGGTCGGAACATTCCCCTATATTAAATTATTACCGTTGCTTCACTAAATGCCAACGCAACGGTAAGAAAATCATTGATGTAAGTGGGTTGCGAAGTGAAAGTCATGTGGGTATTTTGTGACATGCTACTCACGTGACAAATAAAAGGACTTTTTTGAATTTTAAGTTCCCTTGTGATTTATACGCCACAACAGAAATTGTGAAAAATTCAAACTTCCCACTCTCTTAAAATTCCAAAATTTCCTTCCAAATTTTAGATGTACAAAATTTATTAATTAAATATTTCAGTGACGTGGTAATCAATTGGCAACACATTTTTTTCTCACGTGTTTACCACGTCACTAAATCACTAGGGAAAAACAACATTTTTTTTGTAGTGACTACGTGATGACGAATGTTTGAAAATATAATTGGTGTTCGATGTACACAATCATGAATTAGGAGGTCATTCAATTGTTGGTCATTAAGATTTTGAAGAGAAGAATATTGTTGTTGAGATGACAATAAACATGGTTCTACCCAAAAATATACTCATGACTTTGAAAAGAAAAATATTTGATAATGTGAAATATATTAAGCAAGTTTATAATATTTAATACAAAACAACAAGGAAATAAGGGGCTAAAAACTAAAATGCAATCATTAAAACTATTGGATGCATATAATTATGTTTATAGGTATAGAATGTATGGTAATGAAAAATCCGTTCAAGATATATTTTAAATGCATCAAAAATCTATCAAATTGTTTAACACATTTTCCATTCTATGTATTACTAATGGATTCGACGTATAAGACGAACAAATACAACATACATTTGTTTGAATTTGATGTTACTTCTACATAGATGACATATTCAAGTGTCTTTGTTTTTATTGAATGTAAAGAGGAGAATAATGTGAAACAAGTGACAATTTGTTGAAGGACCCAAATAACATGTCATGGGTGATTGTCACATACTTCACTAATGAGTCATGTAGCACAATTTTTTTCCTACATTACATGGCTTTACTGTGTTGACATCACATAACTAAAAATATAATAGCATGTAAGTTGCTAATAAAAACCAAAATATTAAGGCTATTAAAGATGAGAAAGTTGTCAAATATAAACAAAGAGTGGAACTTATATTGTAATTAAATTGTTCTATTAAACCAACTCAATTGGTAGCTGTTTACAAACATCATATGTAGGAACACGCATAACATCTCACTTGTGTCATCTTTAAAAGGTAAAATTCCAAATACTAAACTACTTGACCAAAAAAATCAACATTACCTCTTTATTCCACATGTGAGGATCAACATGGTCCGAATAGAGCGGGAGTAGCGATATGTTTGATTGGCCTCCACAGTATATTTTGTCGGAGCCGGAGCATGAGCAAATGCTTGTTGACGACGACAAACACTAGACTGTCTTGAGGCCGAGAACTGCTCTGAAATTACAGTCCTGATTCATGCTCGCAAGCCTCGGCGCCAAATTTCTACCCTACTTCAAATTGTGTATGTTGGACCCATGACATCTGTGCCAAATTTCTAAAGAACCGATAATAAAACTAAAGAACCAATAATAAGTTCCATAGATAATGATGTGAAATGAAAAATGAGTAAGTGTCACATAAACATAAACATGCAAAACGGAACGAAAAAACACAAAACAAGCTTCCAGAATGCAACTATACATGTCTCCTAAAGGATCAATCTAAATACCAGGTAATGTTAGCGCCGTAAACATATTAATTAATTTATTTCCTGGTTCGGATTTTAGATGGATTACATGCTAGTAACTTTGAGTGCTTCTATATAGTACGAAGTTCTCCATATGAAAAAATTGAATGCAATTGCTATCTTCCATTCGGAGTGTTTTATTTCTACTTGATGAAAAAAACACTTTGATTAAGTGGCATTTGAGTGCTATGAATATAATATACTATAAAAAAGTATATCCCTTTGTAAAACCATGCATGAGATGATAATTCATCATTCCATTCTATTTCTCTTCCTCAAATTGAAAACAGTCTCCTTCAAGGAAAGTAAGTTGCACCATCCTCTAGTGGAATGCCATTATCATCTGGAACACCATCAAATATGCTTAAAAAATTACCAGGTGCATGTAATCCAGGATACTCCATATAACAATCAAGATTCTCCTCCATAAGATAATTTGTCATTTCTTGTACTTTATTATTATACGCGTCATGTTTGATGTGGCAATGAATTTGAGCAATTTCAATGTGTCTATGAGTCCAGTCAGGGCGACTCCAAAGGTAAAGAGGTGGCGGCTTCAGGTTCCAGTCTTCCAATTGCTTGTCTCGAGTATCGACAGAACCCGGTAGATAAAATGACTGGAGGAATACAAAAATGCAAAACATGTATAAGCCCTTGATTTAGTCACACACAATCTTAGATTAAAATCATGTTAATTTTACAAACTCACCTTTCCTGAACATATTTCATTGTCCTCCCAAATTAAGTCATATCCACCTTTCTTTCTGTCAAGTCTGTCAAAGCAGAATATAAATTAGTTGAAACATGGATATTTTCAAAAATTATTAGTAGTTATTTTTGGGACTGAAAAAGAAACAATACTAACCTTTTTGTTACTTTCGGCACGATAAGTATAAGGAGTTTTGGCTTAAACGTCAATGCCTTGTTGATAAATTTGTTAGCAAGAAAACCCTTGACCCCAAAAGGAGGATTCAGCCCTATGATCTAGTCAAGTGAAAGAAGAACATATTAGCTACAATATTAAAACGAAAGTAAACTAATTGAAGAAAAAGTTTTATGTCCTTACAAGCTGAGAACCATCTGGTAATTCCTCAGGCTTGATACTCATCCAATCTCTTTTTTCGAAGTTGAAATCATTCTACAGGTAGAACGAGTCATTAGCAATAAAAGGAATTTTCGGAAGGATAAGTGTGAAAAGAAAACAAGATCATAGGCATGTATTGTTAATTGGTTTGATAGATCCAAAGTAATATACCTTAGCTTGGAATAAATCATAGTTCTTAAATGAACATGATGACTTCCCAGTCTGGTCAAGCTTTGATTTCATTAGACAGCTGAAATCATTCGCACCACAACAGAAGTCCAAAACCTGGCAAAGGTATCACATAAATATGGATGATGCAAGTTAGTTGAAACAACAATTAAGTTAAAATGAAACTTTAAAAAGGAATTATTCGTATAAGAATTTGTCATCCTTCAAGCAAATATTACAAAGTTTTTATTCCAATATGTTACAAGAATTTACAAGACTTCAAAGTACCACAACATACCGTGTCACCATTTTGCACATACCAATGAAGCCTATCAACAATCTGCATTAGAAAGCTCTACATTAGCTATAGTGATGAGCAAGAATTCAAGAAAATACAGGCATCTAATTTAGTGATGTACAAACCAAAATTCTGTTGATAAATATGAACAATAAATACAATATAAAGCTTATATATTAATTAAATAACTATATATGATAGTTTTGACTATTGTGTAGCTTCATTTTCATCAAGACAACTCATACAAGCATAAATCCTGATAAATATAATAAAAGTTCAGCTTATTGACAACCAATGCTTGAAAACATTATATTCTAAAAGGAAATATTTACCTCCTTCAACTTGTCTATTTTAGTGAAATGGCGACCAAATGAAGTATATCGCATTCCATGAAGAAAAGGTGCAAGATAGACCTTGAGTTGCTTCTGCAAGTGAATTATTATAGATTATGACATGAATGTTTGTATATTACACCTTTATATCAAAAGAACTATGAAAAACAACTTATGATAACTTGTTTCAACCTGCCAAATAAAAAGCTGACGAACAATTTCTGGCTCACAAATAGCTTTTGCTTCCTCAATACTACATCCTTCATCTAACTTCTGTAAAGCTATTTGAATGGCCTGCAAAAGAGTCAGAGATTCTATTATATGAGTAAAATGAATAAATAACCATTTGGACTTAACTTGCTCAGATTCTACTTGGCATCAATGCTGACAGCTATATTTAAGTGGTATAAAGAAGACAGACCTTAATAGAACCTTCAACTTTTCCTTGAGTAAGGTTCTTATGAAATACAGTTTCTGTGGAACTTGAACTTGTATTGAAGACTTGTTGTTCCTTTTTAAAATTTTCCATGTTCAATGTAGATGTGGCCTCTTCCATCAAAGACAAAATTCTGCATTGCACAATTTCCAAATGTAAACAGGCGAGTTTACAAATCAATAGTTTCCTTCAATTAACTCAATAAAAAAACAATCATATGATAGTACATAAAATACCGTTTTTCCATATCTGCTTTTCTAACTTCAAGTGAAGTTTTGACTTTTTTATACGAAGGCTTCTTCAAGCTTGTTTCTTCAATTCTACCAACAGATCTTTGCTGTTGTGATGTAGCTTCATGCAGCTTTGGAATACAAGTCAATTTATCATTTTTCAAAGGCACTTTGCTATCAAAATTCGGTAAGCACCTATTTGACGCAGACATTGTTTCAACCTTTAAATATTTTTTGGGCTGCTCAAATGACAAATGTGTATCTGGCTTAGAGCATATTTTCTCCATAACGTTGGAAGAATTTCCACTTTGAGGGACAGATCTTTCCGTTAAAGTTGGTTTTGGCGCCAGTGTCTTATTGAGAAGAAGTTCTTCAAAACTTTTGTTCGATGTCATTCCAACCTTCTCTTTGTTTAATAACTTGAAACTGATTTTCTTCCTTTTGATATCCTTATCAGGAAAGATTAGATGGTTTCTAGCTGGAGTTCCAAGTTCCGGAACTATCTCATGATCCCTAAACAACAATCAGATGTAAATAACAATGTAAGGCCTCATAAGTCATATGACTACTTTGAGGATAATGCATCAAATCATATTTTAATATCCAATTACTAAATACTAACAACTTACAAGCAATACATCAAAATTCGTTTGTCAAGGAGATTGTCCCAAGCCCTTTGCTCAATGCCCATATAATAATCAAATACGGGGGAAATTTCCCTGAAGAAAGTAATAGAGTTAGAGGTAATGAGACATAGCATGCACGATGGACAAACAAGAGATATAGAAATAGAAGGGTATTCAACACAGGACCCATAAAACTGTTGAAGTGAATACCTGCAAACAAAAGAAAAAATTTCAAGATGAAATGAAAACAAGAAAAACCTACTTGGGTAAGCATTTCCTATGGTAAGCCTTGGGGCAGCGTCTACACATCGCAAATTGCAAATCATGAACATTCCTATTTTCACCTTTTCTACATGCAGAACAGATATGAAGAGGACAGAGAAATGTTTTTTCAATGGCAATTTTCTGTTTTATTTCCTCTTGTTTGGTGTCAATTCCAGGGTTGAGTAGTCTTGCAACACATTCAGGATGGTAATAGTGACCACAATTTGCAGTAACACAAGGAAATACCTAAGAAGAAACATAAAAAAAAAGGGTTTAATTATACCATCAATAGTTGGCTATATTTAAATTTACTTGCATCAAAAATGAAATGATCAACAATATAATTATGCAGCAGTTAGTTACGGTTATAATAATTGCATGCTAAATAAAATAAGGAGTGTCATGAATTTTGGCTTCATGCCTTTCTCATTGCCTTTCATACTATATATAATAGTGTCGGTAATTACAACTCATAATAACTAATTACAACTCATAATAACTAATTACAATTCATAATGACTAATTTCCTATTCTATGAATGTAAATTATTCACAATAACTGCAAAGATTATTTCCTAATTAACATCCCCCCTCAAATTGATGCGGCTGGTCAAGGAGCATCAATTTGCTAACAAGAAACTGATGTCTTGGGTGTGGAACAGCCTTGGTAAGAATATCTGCAACCTGCAACTGCGTACTGACGTGAGGAAGTGATATTATTCGATCATCGTAGGCATCACGTATTGAATGACAATCAACTTCGATATGTTTGGTGCGTTCATGAAAAACAGGATTTGCAACAATTTGGATGGCACTTGTATTGTCAGCATAAAGTGAAGTTGACTCTGTTTGGGGAAATCCAAGTTCAGCCAAAAGACCACGAAGCCAAAGTATTTCTGAACACGCAGAGACATGGCACGATACTCTGATTCAGTAGAAGATTTAGAAACTCTTGCTTGCTTCTTACTTTTCCAAGAGATCAATGAAGAACCAAGAAACATACACCAATCAGTAACAGATCGACGAGTATCAGGACACCCTGCCCAATCAGCATCACTATAAGCGCTCAACTGAAGAGAAGTTCCAACGGAAAAGAATAATCCGCGGTGAGAGGTTCCTTTTAAGTAGCGAATTATACGACGAACTGCAGCCAAGTGAAGATGGCGAGGAGAATGCATGAATTGACTTACTTGTTGAACAGCAAAAGATATGTCAGGGCGAGTAATAGTCAAGTAGTTGAGGCTACCCACAAGTTGTCGATACAATAAGGGATCAGGCAACAGATCCCCATCATCACGATGATATTTAACATTAACCTCAAGAGGAGTAACTGGATTAGCCGATTCAAGACCGGCCATAGAAATCAAATCTGTAGCATACTTGTGTTGATGGAGAAAGATGCCCTTGGATGTAGAATGAACCTCAAGACCAAGAAAATAATGTAGATTACCCAAATCTTTCATATGAAATGAGGCCTGTAACTGTTGCTTAAGTCGCTGAATGGAAGCATGATCCGAACCAGTAATAACCATATCATCAACATATAAAAGAAGCAGAACAATACCCGCAGATGTGCTATAAATAAATAAAGATGAATCATACTGACTCTGAGTAAAGGAGAATCCAAGTATAGTGGCGCGGAAATTCTCGTACCATGCTCGAGGTGCCTGTTTCAAACCATATAAGGAGCGTTTGAGCTTACACACGCCTTTAGATGAAGAGAATAAGCCTTGAGGTGGAGTCATATAAATATCTTCTGTCAGGTCACCATGAAGAAAAGCATTCTTCACATCCATTTGATGAAGAGTCCACCCATTAGAAGCAGCTATAGACATGATTGTGCGGACAGTTGTCATTTTGGCAACCGGTGCAAATGTCTCATCATAATCAATTCCATATTCCTGCTTGTTTCCTAACGCAACCAAACGAGCCTTGTAACGGTTGAGGGACCCATCAGAATTCAGTTTCACAGAATACACCCATTTGCAACCTATAGGTTTTACATTTGGAGGACAAGTGACGATATCCCATGTGAAATTCTCTTGAAGAGCTTGGAGCTCTTCAGTCATTGCTTTTATCCATCGCACATCTTTAACAGCCTGTGAGTAACAAGTAGGAATAGATATGCTAGAGAGTGTGGCAGTCAGAGAAGTATGTGAGGAATCATACCTGTCTGGTGAATATCTATCTGGTGCGCGGGATATTCGACCAGAACGTCGTGGTTCAACCGGTACAGGATCAGGTGGCAGTTCAGCATCGGGAAGGGGTGTGGGAACCTATTGTCTGTGTTTTCTGACATATACATGACCTGGTTTATAACGTTCTATAGCTTGAGGCATAATAGAAAACTTAGGAAGAGTAACAATATCATTAATGGCAGGAGAACCACAGGGAAACATAAACTGATTATCAAAAAATGTCACATTTCTAGAAATGCGAAAACGATGGTTAGAGACATCATAACACACAAATCCCTTATGAGAGTTACTATATCCCATAAATGCACATTGAACGGATTGTGCTCCAAGCTTATGCCTTTCAAAAGGAGGTAAGTGAACAAAACACACACACCTAAAAGTATGTAAAGCACTATAATCAGGATGAATTTTAAATAGACGGAAGAAAGGAGAATCAAGATCAATAACTGTAGAAGGAATACGATTGATCAAGAAGACAGCCGTGGAAAGAGCCTCCACCCAAAATCGGGATGGTACAGAAGCTTGGAGAAGTAAGGTGCGTGTTACATCAAGCAAATGACGATTCTTACGTTCTGCCGTGCCATTTTGTTGAGGGGTATTGGGATAAGACCGTTGAGACAAGATGCCTTTTTGTTGAAGGTATTCCTGAAACTCATGAGACATGTACTCACCACCAGAGTCAGATCGAAAAATTTTAACACTTGCTTGAAATTGAGTTTCAACATATGTCAAATATTTCTTAAACATAGAAAACACTTCGGATTTAGAACGGAGAAAATATATCCAAGTAAAACGACTATAATCATCAATAAATGTGACAAAATATTTATAGTGAGCATGAGAAACCACAGGAGACATTCCCCATACATCACTATGAATCATCTCAAAACAAGTGGAAGCACGATTAGCACCAGACGGAAAAGGAAGTGTTTTACTTTTAGCCAATTTGCAAACAGAACATGAAACAGAGGCATCAGGAATAACATTTTTATTTCCCAACAAGCCACTTTTACATAAATGAGACAAAACAGAAGAGTTTGGATAACCTAGTTTTCTATGCCAATCCTCATAGGAATTCAAAACATTATGACAAGCAAGAGACAAATGATTAGAAATAAACTGTATTGGAAACAATCTTCCCACTTTAGGCCCCTTCGCGATCACTTTCCCCGACACCTGCTCCTGCACAAGACAACCAGATCGAGAAAAATTAACATTACAATTATTGTCCACCAATTGACCAACAGACAATAAATTAGAAGCAAGTCCAGGTGAGACAAGCACATTCTGAAAATCCGAGTTTATGTCCCCAACGTTAGTGATAGACAAGGTATTACCATTAGCAATCTGAATTTTCTGATTACCATGATAAGAATGTAAATTGTGCAAGTTTTCAGATGAACCTGTCATGTGATTGGATGCACCAGAATCAATAAACCATGGACGAGAAACATGAGAAGACTTACCCTTAATACCCAAGGCTGAAAGGGTAGAAAGTACCATGTGTTGAATCATTTTAGGTTGTAGAGCATTGCCATCTGATGCACCAGTAGTGGAAGAGCCAATTGTATGGCCTGTAGTGGCATGAAATGCCTTCACCGAATGATGTGCTGGTCGTGGAGGACGCGTGGGACAGTCAGAAATGATATGACCTTGTTGTTTGCAATAATTACAAAACTTCTTACTGCAGCTACGAGCAATATGTCCAAACTGTTTGCAAGAAAAACATTGGACATGTTGCATATCACGACCTTTATTTCTACTTTGAGCAGCATATGCAATTGCCACAGGCTCAGAACTGACAGTATCATGAGACATGGTTCCTTGAGTAAGGAGACGTTGTTCCTCCCTGAGAAGTTCACCAACACATGTATCCAAAGAAGGAACAAGATTCCTATTTAGCAAAGCACCTCTGACAAACTCAAATTCTAGACGAAGCTTCATGAGGAATTGATCTCGCCTATTTGTGTTGTAGACCTCTTGAACAGCCGCAAGAGAGGTCTTGGGAACATTAGCATGTATAATAGCAGAGTGTTCTGCCTAAAGATTCAAAAAACCAGAATAGTATTCTTGAATAGACAAATCACCTTGTTTGTAGTTGGCGATGTCTAACTCCAATTGAAAATGTTTTGCCGAATTGTCCTGGTTGTAAATGCGCTTCAGATAATTCCACATTTCTTGAGCAGTTGAAAAAGAACGCAAATTATTTATCAATCTGAGGATCAATACTGTTTAGAATCCAAGTAATAATTTGAGCATCTTTAGTTTCCCACGCATCTAAAGCAGTTTTCTCTGTTGGTGCCTTAGAAACATCATCTAAGTGACTCCATAATCCCTTTCCTTTAACATACATCTTGAACTGAAATTCCCATGCCGAATAATTCTTGCCGGTAAAACGAACACAAAACTTATCTCTTTCTTTTTCGGAAGCCATCTAAATTATTAAACCACCAGATACAATCTCACTAATATTATTTTATTATTATTATAATAATAATAATAATAATAATAATAATAATAATAATAATAATAATAATAACTATAATATAATAACAGTAACTGTAATCACAGTTACTAGAGCAGCAACAAGAAACAATACCCACGAACCAACGAACAACAGCACGATCAAATTCACGATTTGGAAGGAGCGGCAAAACAGAAGATTATGACGATCCAGAATCACGAAGCAACAACAGCCAAGAACCAAAAAAAATTGATTGCAATATCAGCGCAACAACGAGAATCTCCAAGACGAAATCACGAACCGGCAACCAAAGATTTAGAATCTCAGACAGCTGCAAGGTTTCGATTTCAAACGAAAGAATTTCGAAACGAACACGATTACGAGAGCGAACCAGTGGGGTATCGTTGATCAGCCAATATAATAATATTTTCCAGGTTTGATCGAACCTACTGATACCATGTCATGAATTTTGACTTCATTCCTTTCTCATTGCCTTTCATACTATATATAATAGTGTCGGTAATCACAACTCATAATAACTAATTACAGCTGATAATAACTAATTACAATTCATAATGACTAATTTCCTATTCTATGAATGTAAATTATTCACAATAACTGCAAAGATTATTTCCTAATTAACAAGGAGGTTTGGATTAATGTCCAAAATCAAAAGGCCAGAAATCAAATAAAACAAAAGGTTCTATATATATATTTAACACCCGTTTTTAGTATAGAATCTTAAAGAACCTCTTCCGGGCTAAAAACCTGTGGGAAAGGAAAAATTAATGACATATTATGCTTTGAATGGCAAAGCTTTATCTGAAATATAAAGCTTTATCTGAAATATAAAGCTTTATCTGAAATATACCTCTCGATGAGAAAACCCAAATGCATTGTATGGCAAAGCTTTATCTGAAATATACCTCTGGATTAGATGATTCATCAGATGAACCCAGTCTGCCACATGCAAAGCATTGATGCTTCTTATATCTACAATTGTCACAATAGAAGTTTGGAAAAGCCTGCAAAGTTAAGATTTGGTTTTATCAAATGCAGTTGGAGTCAAAGGAAAATAATGTTAACTCTGAGTTTGGAAATTTATTAAAAAATATAGTAAAGATGGGAGGCACAACTTACATTAACTTGAGTACTAGTGTAGCCAAGAGATTCACATAATGAATCTCTACCATCTTCTATAGTTGCATGGAAGGATCTCAGACACCTTCCTTCACAGCTGAATCATTAAAACAAAAATAAACAGTTAAGTAAAAAGAAGAGAAAGATGATTTACTTTTCAATAAAAGATGGCAAGTAAAGGACAATAATAAGTCTTTATGATAAGAGACTAGTATGGTTATCACATACGGAAGTACTTCACCACCATTATCACAAATTGCACAAACAGTATCATATCCGATATTTTGCTCTCCATCTACATTGAGTTCACCTTCACCTTCAGATTTGTCATCCTCCTCCTCCTCTTCTGATTCAACTATAAATGTTAATTTCTTTGTCGTGTGAACATCCTGCTATATAACCAACAAGATAATGAATAAGAAAGAACATGAAATATTACACACTAGAAAGGAAAAAAAAGAATTATGCTCACCTCATGGAAGTCTTCATTCGAACATGTCTTTCCTATGAAATTAAGCAAATACTGTCCAGTAAAATAAACAAACAATTAGGAAAAATGCCACCGTTACCATGAATTCTAATATACTTGGCTCAAGGACTCCATTTATTTTACTAAAACAAAGGGACGGGACAGCTTAAATGAACTTGTACTTAATTCATTTAATTTTTTAGATAGCCCAATTATTGGACAAAAGGTAGCTCAAGGACTTAGTGAACGCGCAGGAGGCAGCAATGAATGAAGGCAGTCTAAGGTGGCGACAATGAAGGTGGCTAGGGTTTTGTTAAATCTGTGTCCCTTTTAGCATGCTCTGTAATCAATGAACATACTGCAAATCCAAACATACATACATGTACAAAATTAAAATAGAACTACGAACCTTGGATTTTGTTAAATCTGCGTCCCTTTTAGCAGCCTCTGTAATCAATGCCATATGACATAGAACATCATTCTCAGAAGGTGGAATATCAAATGTGCTGCAAAACAGACATTTCATTGATGAATTTGATTTTAACAAGCAAATACAAAAATCTACAAAGGATAAAAGAAAATGTTCACCTAAATTCCGTCAACACTTTGTTCCAAATTAATATTCTTGATTCCTCTGGATTCCATTTCACAAAATGCAACCAAGAAACTGTGACCAAAACTGACTTAATAGTACTTTCAAAGCATTTTTTTGGTTTTAGAAGAGCTATCCAGTATTTCTCCCTCAAAAGAACTGAAATCTCAGGCTTTTCGCATGAAAGTTCAAATCTCCATCCTGTAATCTGTTTGTGAATTTTCTGGATGCCATTATCTGTGGTGCCATGTAAAAACACTTTTGTTTCTGAGTCACATTCGACCTCGTCAACACTCCACAATAATGTCAAACTAAAAAGTGAAACAAATTCCGCCTTATCATTTTCAAACCAATAACTATCAACAGAATCTGGAACAATCTCACCCTCTTCATCTGATGATGCCATTAGATGCTCAAGTCAAAACTATGTTCAGAAAAACCTGTGAAATATGAAACATATAAGTTTAATACTCAACCCCTTTCAATCATGTATTCTTCATAAACTTACCAAGAAAGAAACATCACATGAACTCTATGCATTGCAAGAGAAGTATGAAGATGCATCACAATTCTGTTTCTAATCTTGTACAAAAGCTGAACTAACATAGGAGAGGTGCTCATAATTAGACATAAAAATCCACAGATAACAACAACAAAAACCAAGTCAAAGTAATTGCATGATTCAGAGAAAAGCTTATTCTGTTAAGCAGTAAAAAATAAGATGAACATTTCATGTTATATTTTTTTAAAAAGGCAAACATTTCATGTTATTCAACTTACAAAAAAAATAACAATACCTCTATCATTAAAAATGAACAATAACAATATATTTTCCATTTATTAAAGTAATTGAAAAAAAAAAAGCTAGTCCCTACGTTCTCACTTCAATACCGAAAAAACAACTCAATCTACAAAACCCGTTCGAACTTAAATTCGGGAGGTAAGTTAAGTCTGGTCAAGGATATTTCAACCTGAATTCAAACTCTTGTATTTCCGTAAGATTCATCCTTAACTGGAACTCGTTAACCACTGAACTTAATCACCTAGTTCCCTTTCAAAAATGAAATAAAACAAAGCAAAAAAAAAAAAAAAACGTTAAAGTGTCACCTTTTACTCTCCGGACCTTATTCTCAGCTCAATATACTCATGAAAAGCAACATTTTCTCCCTCTCAACTCTACTCCAAAAATTTTCTCTTCATTTTCCTACACTTTCTCAGCATTCAAACAAAATAACCTAAATCATACACACATTTTGCTTCTTTGACAAAGAACCAGCAAATTTTTGAAGAAAAAAATCAACCACACTCGGAATGCAGAAAAATCGAAACACAAACAATACGGAAAAAAGCCTAAATCACACACGAATTTCAACTCATTTCTGAGTAATTTTCAAGTTCACACAAACCCTAATGTTAAAATCAAAAATTCCAAAAAAAATAGAAACATAGTAGAAGTTGAATTAACTAATTCAACAAATGAGAAAAACGTAAAGCATAGAACTCAAAATGCGAAGAAGAAGATGATTCTGATTTTACCTTTGTGAAGATGATGAAAGGTTTCAATGTATTTGAGAAATTGAGATATGAGAGTGGTTTAAGAAGAAACTTGCATTACACGTTCATTACTATTTTCATGTTTGTTTTCTTTTCTTTTCTTTTTTAACTTTCTTTTCATTTTTGGTTTTAGTGTTTTTCTGATAAAAGATTTTTCTCATGGTCATATTATGATTTACCATCACATGGCCATAACATGCTTATTTTGCGGGGGGAAATGTAAATTGTATGTTGGATTTTAAATGCTTTTTGTACTTATATAACGAACTTTAAAGAAATTGTTTGAAAGAATATATTATAGATTTGAAGAAATTATAATTATTTATTAACTTATAGATATAGTTATTTTTTAGTTAGAATGCTAAAGAAAAAAAAAGGAAATGAAGAAAAAGAAAACTAGGAATTTGTTTGCACCGTCGTTTGCGAGGATGTGGTTGAGCACGATGAAAAAAAAATCGTGTAAACATGAGATTGATGTTAGCAAAGGAGTCGTATTTGGCTATGATATCAACACGTTGATTGTCTTTATGCAAATGTGGATAACTTTAAATTGTCTATTTTCATATGTAACATGTCATTGATGTTCGAAATTGACATAGCATGTCAATGGTATTTATCCGTGGGGTCTCAACGAGATTAAAAGCGTTAGATGAATCTAAGTAGCAAATTGAGTCATTAAACTAATTCTATAAGAGAATATTCCTATGAGACTCAGAAATGCGAGGCGTGGAGTGCAAGTGGTGCCCAATAGGTCGCCCATTAGGAGATTCAAGCCTCTCCTTTGAGAAGGTCGTTCCTTCGGGAGGATGCCCGTCTCCTGGATGGCTTTCCCATGAAGAGGAGCATGTTTAAAAACTCTTTCAAGTAGTACGAAGAAAGAATCATGAGGAGGGTAGCCATGTTCTCTTAGGAAATAGACAGTCAATCATTTATTCCCACGACTAAGGAGGGACAATTACTATTTCCTAGAAGACCTACAATTCAAGCCCAATAGCATTTATAAATACCTTAGCCTTAGGATTGAGAAGGGATATAATCCTTAATTCGCAAACAAATGGTAAATAAGGCTTCTCACATTCTCTTGTGAACTAACTCTAACACCACAAAACCCTAAAAGCCTCTGATAACCCTTACTCACTAGGGTTTTTCACGCATTTGTACTTTTTAGCATATAAAGTTGGCGTCTATCGTGGTATCCAGTAAAACCAACCCAGGTCACACTTATCATTATTGTTTTCACCATCTTCCCACAAAGATGTTTAAGAAAAACCCTGATACCATCATCAACACCATCGTCGGAGGCTTCGTTGGTGGACGAAAGTCCAGCTTCTCCCAGAGGAAGTACGCCAAGTAAGTGTTGATTGCAAACATCATATCTAATAGCATCTCCAAATCCACTAGGAGAGGAAGGGAGTCCAAAATCAACTTATAAGGATTATGTTGATGTCCTCCCCCACAACAAAGACCCCAAGGTCATCATAGTGCAATATGATGCTTAGGACGTTGAGCGGGTCCTAATCAACCTTGGCAGTTTTGTAGACCTTCTATTTTAGAGCTCTTTTCAAAAGGCTCCAACTAGATCAAGACAACATTAGAGTATTCCAAGGTTCTCTAGTTAGAGTGTCAAGAGAGCAAGTACAAGTGAAAGGTCATATAACGCTCAAAACAATGTTCGTCTTAGGGCGAGTTTGAAGACAATCAAGGTGAAATACCTTCTAGTGGAAACCATATCTCCCTACAACACCATCTTGGAAAGACCTGCCCTTAATTCACTACGGGCGGTCCTGTCTACCTTTTGTTTAAGCCAAAAATATACATTACCTGATGGTCGGGTTGGACAAGTTCGACGGGATCAAGAGATCGATTGAGAATATTATCAAAAGAGCTTGAAATAAAGAAGGAAGCATGACTCCCTTTGTGTCGCCCATCATCTTGAAACACTTGAAGAGGATACAATAAGTTGGGATCCTAGATTAAATGCTAAGAACGAGAGGTTCACGCCTACAGATGACCTCAAGGAAGTCCAAGTAGGACCTTTGAGCCATCATGTTATGAAGTTAGGCACCTCTTTATATGAACCAGGGGAATGGAAGTCGGTCGCCTTACTCATAAGGAACATCGACCTATTCGCTTGGGCATTATTTAAAATTTCAGTCATAGAAACTTGAGTGGTGTTTTATCGCCTCACCATCGACCCTACAGTGAAACTATTATCTCAAAGAAAGCGTATGGTAAGTGAAGAGAAGAAATATTCCATCGACGGAAAAGTAAAGAAGTCTACAAGTATTGGCTTCTTAATAGAGGTGAAATACCCAACATGGCTAGCTAATGTCGTCATGGTAAGAAAGACGTCGAACAAATGACACATTTGCGTAGATTTGTTTGATCTGAATGCAGTTTGTCCTAAGGATCCCTATCCCTTACCTTACTCTGGTCGCCTAATCAATAGATCCTCGTGCTACAAGACGTTGAGTTTCATGCACTCCTATTCAAGATATAAGCAAATCAAGGTAGACCCCCTTGACATGACCAAGATTGCATTCATGTCGAATCACGACAACTATTATCATAAGGGCATGCCTTTTAGCCTAAAGAATGTTGGTGCCACCTATCAACGACTCATGGATGCAGTTTTCTCTAAACATATAGGGAAAATCTTGGAAGTCTATATCGATGACATGATAGTAAATACCTTTGAAAGGGAAAGCCACACAACATACTTAGAAGACATCATAGGGTCGCCTCTCCTTCTCTATTTTTCTATCATATACCAGGCGATGAGTTTAATGCTCCTCCAAGATACAGAAAGGGTAGATGAACCTGTCTATTTCATAAGTAAAGTGTTCAAGGACATTTAGGCCTGGTATCATAATATTGAAAGGCTGGTTTTAGTTGTTGTAGTTATGATGAGGAAGTTCAGACCTTATTTTCAAGGCTATAGAATAACTGTATGGACCAATTACCCTATTCGACAGGTCCTCAAAAATCCAGATCTAGCTGGAAGAATGATATCTTGGGCGATTGAATTGTCGGAGTATGACATCAAATCACATGTGCTGGAAGACTTTCTTGTAGAATTCAGTTCTCTAGTAGATGAAAAAGATCTCCCCGCCTGTACATTATCGGTGGATGACGCCTTTAACATAAAAGGAAATCGTGTTGGGATAGTATTGGAAGGTCCAAAAGCCTTTTTGATTGAGCAGTCGTTAAAGTTTGATTTCAAGGATAACAATAATCAAGAAGTGTATAAAGCTATCATCATCGACATGATCCATGCCATGGTGATATGTGCCTCAAATATGAAGGACAAAAGCGACTCTCAGTTGGTAGCAAATCAAGTTGTTAGGGAGTATCAGACAAAACAACACTAGCTCATATGATATCTCAAGAAGGTATGTGACTTATTAGAGTACTTCAATATGTGCCTAGAGAGAAAAATTATATGGTAGAACCCCTGTCCAAACTCGCCAGCACAAAGATACCTAGGTATAATTGCACAGTGATTCAGGAGACTCTCGCCTCCCCCATTGCTGAGGCGGGAGAAACTTGTGCTCTCGAAGTTTCCCTAACTCCACTAAGTCACTCCCCTCTAAGATAGTTCCTCAATTTTTAAATGTTCATCGGGCTTGATCTATGAAACTATATTAGACTTTCCCCAACACTCTAAGTGGGTTCAAATTCCAGCGTTGCTCGGTTCAGAATTATTAGTTCTCTAGTAAACACAGATGATATCGTTAGCATGTTCTCCCCTCAACTTTGTAGCTTGTATTTTTGTATAAGTCAAAATGGGAGGCGGTATATGAACCATTGTGCGATCTTCCTCTCCAAAATCATTTGACAGGAGAACCTCGAAAGAGTTAAAGGAAAAAGCTCTCTCAAAAAGGGAGTTCTAAGACACCTTTCCCGAATCAAAATCATTAGTCAGGGAAACAACTTTGCAGCCCACGCAATTGCGAGCAAGGGCGGAATAAGAATCATGAGATACCTCAATTCTTACAACAGAAGAAATGCCACTCTCACAATCACTCATCATGGAAATAGGGCTACCACTCTTCTTGATCAGAAAACAGGAAATGCTAAAGGAAAAACCTTGAGTTGAAAAGAGTAACTCGTTATATGAGGTTGATGAAGCGAAGTAATTGAGAAATTTAGAAACTTTAATAAGAAAGCTATAATCGCTGATAAATACTTTAGGAAGGAAGAAAAGAAGACGTTTGCTAACAAGAGCGACTATGAATGAACTTGGATGCCAAGGATTGTGAAAATTTCCCTCAGTGCTCAAATCCTTCTATGTTTAGGCCAAAATGATTGAACGAGCTATATCAGATGTAAAAGGGAGCTATAAAATCAATGACTGGATTTTCTTTTGGAAATGCAAATAAACTCGAGTGCAATACAAGTAGCGTCATGCCCTAACTAGTCGTGATTTTGCCCATATGCAACACTTTATTGATCCAAGCTTCAACAAATCTATTCTTGTGAGGCGTCAACCATGTGTCTATCACATAATTAAAAAAATGGTCTAAAATCCACACATGTATGCTCAAGCTGTTGCAACTTTTGATGGTACTCCACCTCATCATTAACCCTTACAAGTTCATGCTATATCTTCTCTATCGGCTCTCTCATATCATTCACAACATACTTCTTGCACTTTACTTTCACATTCTTGTTCATGTGAAATCGACAAAGCATATTAATTGTCGTTGGAAATATTGTTTCAATTGAGTTCATCAAAGCAATATCTCTATTTGTTAAAATCACTTGTGGCCATAACCCTTGCTTAGTGAACAATTGTTTCAACTTATCTAGTACCCAACAGAAATTCTCTATTTGCTCAGATTCCATATAGGCAAATGCAACAACAAATGTTAACTCGGTTGATGTCATACCAACTACTTCAAACAAAGGTTGCATGTAATTATTTGTTTTGTAAGTACTGTCCATAATCAACACATTGGGAAACATATTCAACAACTTCACTGATCCTAGATAGGCCTAGAAGATATCTCTCACAACTCCTCTATTAACTTAAACAACTGTTGCATTTCGTTCTAGGACCCCTGTTGTCTTTCTGAATCTTAGTCTTATGTTTATATATTGGGTGATTCGAGTCACTTTCTCTGGATCCCATTCTTGTAATGACAACAAAATAAGTCTTGGTGGAACATGACGTTTTGTCAAATAGACAACACGTTGTTGTTCATCAGCATTAAGTCGACTTACAAACGCATGACCTTCAAATCTATTTGCTAAATCATGGTTGTGAAGTCTATACTTTACGTTAATATTCCAACCAGAACCATCTTTTGAAGGTGTTGACCTAATTTTGAATGGACAACCACATTTCTTGGTAGCACTTTGTGTTTCACTATCTCCGTATTTTCCACCTCTATCACAACCAAATATAATTTTGTCACTTCTTCCTCTCTTGCCAGTTTTGGTGTCCGAACGAATTATTATAACAATAACTTTATTCCTGATTCCAACCTCCCTAATCCACCTAGTCACCTCATCTCGCTTGATAAACTTTGTTGTAGTAGAGAATATCTCAGTCGTGTATGCACATGTCTAGTTTTTACCGCATATCATCAAAGGATTGTCCATGCCTAACATAAATGTGACAAAAATTAATAAAAAATAAAATAAAATAAAAACAAAAATTATAAAAAAAAAGCATTTCGAATAACTTGGGGTAAAGTTATCCGGAAGTCAAAAAACCAAAACCGGAACACTTTTACTATGTTATTCGAAACGTGTAAAATCACAAATCGTAGAACTTATGGTGTGTTTTCTAGAACGTATTATATGAACCGGATAACTCACATACAAGTTATCCGATTTGTTAAATTAGACAACCGAATTTCTTCTACGTGTGTTTTTTCGTTTGCAAATAACACATTCCGGACTTCTTTACCTAATTTATTCGGTTAGCGTCGTATATTTTTAGAAAAACACTTTTTAATTAATTTGACTGCACGTAAAATAAAAAAATAAAAAGAGATAATTTTAGAATATTTAAAAAATTATAGAGGTACGAGGACAAGAATCTCATCTATAATAAAATAATCTCCCAAAAAATTAAAAAATCCGCGTAAAACATGTTTTCAACAAAAATTCGATTTATAAAAGCACATCATCATTTTATCTTTTAAATACATGTGCCATAATGAATGAGAATTTAGTCTTCAAAAAGATTCAGAATAACTCCATAACTTATTTTTGAAGTGTATACAATTTTATATCGGATAAATATTTTTAAAATCAATAGTTGAATTGAAAGATGTTATTATATAGAATATACATATAAAATTTGAGATTAATCTAGAATAATATCTTATGTCATTAAGATATGAAGAGATTAATGTCAAAAATGTAGTTTTATATAATGTTAATTTTGATTGTCACTTGATTCCAAGAGATCACGCCTCAAGTTCTTAACTAGATCAGTCACGTTCATGCAGTATTTATCATTCATCTGCAAAATAGTTTAAAACCACTTTTACAATTTCAAACGTCGACTTCAATATAATTGAATTGAAAAATTAAATAAAGTAATAATAATTACCTGAGCAATGATTGTAACTTTAAGAGTGGAATTTCCAAATGGCAAAATGCTACTACTAGCAACTGATAGATGAAGATTTTGAAGCAAGCTCATTATTTTGACCATAGTATTCTTTTGTTTCTCACAATGGATTCCAATCATAATTTCCTTATCTATCACCCTTGCTTTAACCCTAGGTAGTTCTTTCTTGGAATAATATTTATCCTCATCAATATCATTCTTTTTTGTACAAGCTTGAGATTTCTTGATGAGTATTTTTGAACCTTTATTTTTCATTGTGTTTTGATTTTCCAGCTCTTTTATTTTCTCTTCAAGTTGTTTCACATAATTGATAGCTTCTTCAAGTATGTACATCTTATCTGTCTATAAACACAGGAAAAAATAATAATAATAATACACATAAAGAAACAATAAAGTGAAGAAACTGAGTTTATTATAAGTTTGGATTCTTGTTTGAAATATTCAAAATTGAATTTATATGTGTGTAATTAGTTTTGAAATGTTTGTTTATTTGAAGATAGAATTTGTAACTCTTAACTTTAAGGGTGTTTTTTTACGTTAGAAATTTAGTTTTCAACTTACTTAATAAAAAAAATTCAAACCTGAATCATTTTTCCTTTGATTTACTTTTAACTAAAATCAATTTATTCTAAATTAATTTTTAGATTAATATTCTTTTTAATCTCATATCTTAACTTCGAGATTCGTTTTAATCCATTAACTTTAAAAATATTTATATTGGTCTCTTAACTCTTCAAAACATTTCATATTAATCTTTTTTGTCTAATTAACGATAAATTTAGCGACTGATTTTTGAAATTTTCTGTCACTACTAGAAAAAAAATGACTAATATAAAATATTTTAAAGAGTTAAAGGGTCAATGTAGATCTTTTTAAAATTAACAAATCAAAATAAACCTCAAAATTAAGTTACAGAATCAAAAAGAATATTAAACCTTAATTTTTTCACCGCTTAATCAATTACACTCTCCACACAACCAAGGTCAATTTAAAAGACTCCAATTGAAGTTGGCCCTCTAAGTCTATAATTCTTTTAAACTTTAGATTAATATTTTTAATTCAATTCATAATAATAATTTTAGAAAAATTACATATATTAGACTTTTTATTATAAATTGTATAGATTAATTTTGTTATTAATTAATTTATGAAAAACTTAATAAATATAGTAAATTAATTTCCATATTTATTTAATTTAATGAAGTTAAAAACTATAAAATTTAATTAAATTTTTAAAAAACATTATAATTTTTAAAAAGTTTTTAAGCAGTCACAATTAAAAATTTAGTGTATGCTTAATTTCGGTTTTGAGAAAAACAAAAATGATTCTTGACTTGTAAAATTAATTCTTACATGTTTGATTTTTTTAAAAATAAAATTATTTTGTCATAATAATTACTTTTATTTGAAATAAAAGTAATATGGCTTTGCAAACGCAGTCAGAAAAGAAAAGGAAAGGCAAAAGGAGTTGGAATGGAAACAAAGGTAGAGGATGCTACAACAATTTGATTGGTTGAAATCAGCAGGAAGGAAACTAGTCGAATCAAAGAAAATCCTAGAATCAAGGCAACCAAAGAGGTGGTGCTGCAGGTAGAGGAAGAAGTGGTGGACGAAAACCTGACAAAAGTCACATTCAGTGTTTTAATTGTCAGAAGTGTGGTCACTATTTTAGTGAATGTCGAGAAAAGAAGAAGAATCAAGAAACTGATGCAAAGATGGCGAAGTATGAAGAAGAAGAAATGTTGCTAATGGTCACAACAAGAGACGAAGAGAGATTCCAAGACCAGTGGTACTTGAACTCAGGATGCTCGTCACACATGACTGAAAAGAATGATTGGTTTATCAACATGAAGCTCTCGTCGAAGAACATGGTGAAATTTGCAAATGACAATACTCTAGCAGCTGAAGGTATTAGCGATGTTTTGATTATGAAGAGAGATGGCAAGAGGTTAACAATTTCCAATGTATTGTACATAATAGGCATGAAAAGTAATGATGGTGGTGGTGGAGAGTATGTGTCAAAAGAGTTCGATGCATTATGTGAAAAAGAAAGGGATTGTGCATGAGGTGGTGCCACCATACACTCTACATCAAAATGAATTGCAGAAAGAAAGAACAGAACCATCATGAATATGGTGAGAACTATATTGAATGGAAAGCATCTACCCAAAGAATTATGGGGATAAGCGGTTTCGACAGCAACATATATATTAAACAGATGTCCGACAAAGAAGCTTGAATGAATCACACCAGAAGAATGTTGGTCTGGTGTCAAGCCTAGCCTCAATCACTTGAAGGTGTTTGGATCTATAACACATAGACATGTGCCAGATCAGTTGAGAATGAAGCTTGATGATAAGTCAAATCAGACGATCTTGATAGGATATCATTCGACTAGAGGTTACAAATTGTTCGACCCAGTGAATAAGCAGGTAGTGATCAGTAGGTACGTGATCATAGATGAGCTTAAATAATGGGATTGGATTGAGAATGTCAAGAAGGATTCAGTGAGAATCTCTTGTGAAGAATCAGCCACTGAAGTTGAAAATGAAGTTCGACAGAAACAAGTCAGAGATGAAGCTGGTCCAAGCAAACCTCGACGAACAAGACACATGCCTACAAGGTTGCAAGAATGTGTAATTACATTAGATAATGTGGTCGATGAAGAAGGTGAGCTGATACATTATGCTTTCTACGCAAATGTGAACCAACTAATGCAACTGAGATATTGAAAGATTCAAAGTGGGTGAAAGCAATGAATGAGGAGTTAGACTCCATCGAAGTCAACAACACTTGGTCATTTGTCGATTTGCCTCAAGGCAAGAAGGAAATTGATATGAAGTGAGTTTATAAGGTGAAGGTGAATCCTAAAGGAGAAGTAACTCGACACTAGGCGAGACTTGTGGCAAAAGGATTTCTTCAAAAGGAAGGAATCAACTTTGACGAAATTTTTGCACCTGTTGCTTGGATTGAAACAATCGAATTGGTTATTGGTCTAGCAAATATGAACAATTGGCACACATGTCAGATGGACGTGAAATGTGTATTCTTTAATGGCCCCTTAGATGAAGAAGTTTATGTTGCACAATCAGGTGAGTTTGTGAAACGAGGCGAAGAAAGAAATGTGTACATGATGCATAAAGCCCTGTATGGACTTAAGAAAGCTCCAAGAGCTTGGAATATTAAGATCGACAGCATGTCAGCTACCAACTTGGCGAAGAATCCAATAGTACACGGTCGAAGCAAGCACATCAAAATGAGGTTCTATTATCTTCGAGAGCAAGTCACAGAAGGGACGATGGACTTGGAACACTGCAAAATTGAGAATTAAGTTTCAGACATCATGACGAAGGGAGTACCAGTCGAAGTGTTCAAGAAGTCAAGGTCTATGATGAATGTAGATATTTTAGACATGATGAATTAGGTGATGTGTTAAATATGTAATTCATTGTTTTAGAAAGATAAGATTTAATTTAGAAAGATCAGATTTGATTTAGAAATATTAGATTAGATATTTTTGTGTTTTTATAGTTTGTACTTTGCCTTGGGGTGCAAGCTAACCTAAATCTATAAATACGGAGAAAACCTTATTTTGTAAACATCTCATATTATCTCATCATATTTTGTAATTCGCAATTTGCAGTTGCGAGTGAAATAATAGAATTTTCATAGTTTGAGGGCAGAAAGTTCTCTGCAGAAAATTGTTCATCTTATTCTTCTCCAACGTTTACTTTCTTTCTTTCTAAACATTTCTTTTATTGTCATTACGTGAGTTGAAACAATCTTGATATCAAGATTGATTGAGTGAAATTCTCCATAGGTTGTGGTTGAATTTCCAACACATATAACCAACGGATCAAGCTCCTCTGAAGATGCTCGAAAGTCTCCATGTTTCAGAGTCAGATCTTCATCGAAGATTTTTTACAGTTGAATAAATCAAATTGACATTTCTCTTGATAATATAACACGGCATTTAAAAAAATTAAAAGAAAAAATTAAAATATGGATGGATATGGTGCATGCTCTTAAATGATGCATACATGCGCCACAGACAGTGATATGACATGAATGCATACGTCATAGCCCAAAACATGAATCAATGCGCCATAAGCATATGACACATTTTCTTGGAGCAATCTTTTTTAAAACATGATTAGTTTGGTGTTTTTTTTTTAAGATATAGTTATTTTAAATTAAAAAAAAAATCAGATTGCTATCATTACTCAATCATTGAATTTTTAAATGATAAAATAAAAATTGAAAAGAAATGTGCACATGGGATTTGGAAATTTGGCAGAATAGTAACAATGCGACGGAAAGTAAATTATGTCTACCTTTTTAGAACATGAAACTGAATCTTTGTTAAAATCGTGTTCCATTTTTTATATCCTTTTCCGACATTATACCTCTTGTCCCTAACAAAAGTTTTAAAATTATTTTTAATTCCTTTATCTAATTCTTATGCATTGTATATACCCCTTTGTCCTTATTGATAAGACCCTTTAACATATATATTTTTATGCATATCAAGAAAATTATTATAATTTGTGTGAATCTTATTAAATTACCTTTTGTATATAAATACATTTAGTGTTGATTTTTTATATTGCAAAGTAAATTGGTAATGTTAATAAAATCATATTTTAAAAAGATGTTCTGATAATACTTATTAATCTATTTAAAAAAAAATGTTTTTGTAATTCAATTTTGTTGAAATACTTAAATATTTGAAGTCTTATGCAGTTATTCTGATCGCACAATCATAAAATCGAATCTCCATTTAATATTTGTTAAGTCAAATATTTTTTTTTTCTTTCAATTTTTGATTCTTCAATATTAGAAATTATTTTTTTATCTATAAGCTTCAATATTTTTATGGATTTTAGTTTCTTACTTTAATTTGAAATGAATTTTTTTTAAACCGATTTCCTCCTACATTTTTAATTCCGTCATCTTTCATGTATAATATTGGCCGTTGGATTAATTTTCTTTCACTTTTTTCTTTTACGTTATTAGATTAAGTTAAAAGCTTGGATTTAAGTTAACCTCAAAATATAATATGGATAGTAAATTGTTCAATTTAATGTCACTTAACAAAATCAACTCCAAAATGAACATGAGACCAAAATTCATAAAATTAAAAAACTGATTTTTAAAAGGATAAAAACAATTCATAAAAAAGAGAATAAAAATATTTTAAATAGAAAGACTAATACATTTAAGTCAAAAATAAAAGTTATGATATTAATTCAAAAAAGATAATTTTAGAATACCTAAGTTAATTATATAAGAAATAAGTTTTTTAAAACTTGATTATGAATCTATGATTTACA